ATATGGTATTTTCAAATCCATAATGAACCAAAACCCTCATATATCCATGCTTTTACAAAATCCAAGTTTTATTAAAACTTTCAGTTTTCAAATCCTCGAAGCAAACGACCCCAATGTTTTATTACAATTGCCTTACTAACACACTTATGTTTATTTATTGCCTCAATCCTCGAATTTAGATTAGTCTACCAAGACATCAACTATTAAATAAATTTTTTCAACCCTTATTTGATCAATGCTAAGGTTAGTGGTTGATGAAACGTGATGTTTATCGTATATCCTCAACGAAGACTTTCTTAACCTTCACACCTGTTGTTTTTAAGTGATGTTATGTCTCATCCTAGGTATGAAGTCAAAACTCGTCAAAAATCATAGTTAAGTCATTTTAAAAACTTTCATGTAATAATATTCGACAATATCTCCAAATCTGAAAAGAAATTACTTAGCATTCGACTTATGACCTCAATAGAGATTGTTCAATTAATATGATCTAGTGTGAATATTTTAATATAAACCCTAGGACAAATTATAAATTATTGCACACCTGATTACTCTTAATTTGAGAAACTGAAGGTAGAACATGAATATATGTTTTCACTTAATCACGATGAATAAGAATTTTTTTAAAGAAAGAACTATTATTGCTTAGTCAAGTTTATATTCAGACCTTTTGCTATATAAGACTTTTTTTTAATTGATAGAAATATTTATTAGAAATAATTCGACGAAAAAAATACATTAGAAATAAGAGAGTTGTTAATACAAAAAAATCTGAATTCATATATATCATTTTCAAAGTCGATTGATAAAAATATTATTATATATGTGTGTACTTTCTTAATCATTTGTTTTCAATGTTTCTATTGTAATATTTTTTTTAATTGATATAAATATTATTAAATATGTGTACATTTTTAATCATTTTTCAATATTTTTATTTAATATTTTGTTTAATTGATACAAATATTATTATATATGTGTACTTTATAAGTTTTTGTCAAAATGTAACTTATTATTAAGTTTTGGTGAAAATGAGTAAGAAAATTTACTTGATAAGATTTAATCATATACTTTTTATTTAATCAAATTCGATACAGTCACACTCTATTTCCATCTTTATTTGTTTTAATTGACAAAAATATTATACTTTTGTGTGTTTGTTTACATTTTCATAAAAAAGGTCATTTATTATTAATTTTTAGTAAAAATGAGTAGAAATATTAAAAGAAGAGAGAGATAGCTCCATAAATAGATCAATAATGAATTTTTTGTTTGCAAAAAAAGGTGTCCACCTTGGAAACTTGTGAATTTTCCAAATGCCTATGTGGCAAGAAGTTATTTTTGAATTGCCATAATAGATAGATAGATAGATATAGATAGATAGATAGATAGATAGATAGATAGATAGATATAGATATAGATATAGATATAGATATAGATATAGATAGATAGATAGATAGATAGATATAGATAGATATAGATTACTATAAATTTAGGTTTTTATCAGGATTTTCAATTGAACTTTTTATTAATCATTGTAGTCGTGATATTCAATCCATACCTTTCTCGGCCTTTTGGCTAAGATCAAGTGATATTCAATTCATTGTTGAATTTTTTTTGTACGTGGTTTATTTATTCAATCAAAATTTCTCATCACGCCTCATTTATGGATTTTTAACTATTACGATCTTACCCAATATGAAACTGTTCTTTTTATAAAAAAAAAAATGAAACTATTCTATCTAATTAGACTACTCATTTATGAATTCCTTTAACAAAATAGAGATATTCAATTGACTTATCTCAAAACCACCAAAATGAAACCACAATTGTACCTTTGATAAAGTGGTTAACTATTATGGTAACCAAAGATGCAGAAAACTCATCCAAAGATAAGAAAAATCATGAATGCATGCCAAACCAAATTTTCAAATGGAAAGCAAATATATTGAAAGAGGATATAGTTTGTGTGTAACCGATAATGGGCATGTTACTCAATCAATAAGGAAAATAATTTCTCTCAATTATACAATTCACCCATACCCATAGGTATTTTACTATCCAACCCAATTGGCTTGGGTATGAAATCCAAATAGATGGATATGGGTAGAGTTTGATGGGTTTGTACCCATACCCATTTACATGGGTTGGGTTGGGTTTTTAGCAAATAGATTTGGTTTTGTACCCATGCCCAAATACAAATTACAGTTTGGTACCTAACTTAATAGATATACATAATTGTTACCTAAATTTAAATTTTTTGGCATATAAGTTCTCAAAATATACATGAAATGTTACATTTTAGTACCTAAAATTTTGTATCTTACATTTTGGTACCTAAACTTTTCAAGTTTTACAAGTAGGTCCAATTTGTATGTGTAGTTCAGACACCCTCAAGAAAATGGATATCCAAATCCAACTCATACCCATTTAGATTATGGACGCAATATCCATACCTTACCCAAACCCATATGCACTTCACCCATACCCAACCCATTATCAATGGGTCTACTTAGGTTTGGGCATAATTACCCATGGATGGGTAATTGTCATCCCTAATAATTTAATTGACATCTGTTAGGTAAACAATTGTCATACATATAAAAAAATTTTATTTTAAAAAAATATGAAACATATTTGATATTGTTTTAAAGAAGATTCATAACCCGAAATTATCTGAAACATGACCTGAAAGTTTTTGGGTTGGTTCAATATTTGCCGAAAATCAGCCATCCAAAATGACGAGACCTGTGATGACCTGCAACCCGAAATATCTAACGTAACCCTGACCCGATTTCCAAGTCTACTTTTGTTGAACTACAAAACTAAAAGGCTTTTTAGTGTAACTTGCTCCTAAGAAAATGGTGTTCATAAATATTTAAAAAAATTGAACAATGATGTCCTGTTTTTGTGTCTTCCATTTATAGAAAATGTTACATAAATTGAGTTTTTCAACCGAAGTTCTAGGAAGATCAGTATATAAATACAGTGTCTATTTGTGTGAGTATAACATATTAGCCTACTAAGAAAGGAGTGGTCAACATAATTTTATCAGATCATCATTCACATGGCTCTAGATTTGCGCATAGCCATATGCTTCATTTTGATTTCGAGTTTCATAATTTCAAGTCAAGCTTACAATGCTCGATACTTTCCTGAAGAGATATCTAGTTTCGTAAGTCAGGCACAACCAGACCGTTGGCCTAAACATTGGTGTTGTAATTGGTGGATAGCTTGGTGTTGTCCCCCACCCTCCCATAGTTGATCGATTGTATAAAAAGTTATTACGTTGTTATCGACATTACTCTGTGCATTTTGTTTTTCTGCTACTATCAACAGTAATAATTAGTTTGAGTAGTGTTATGTCACTCAAAGGAATGTAATAAAATTGAATAAAATTTTGAAGATTTTTTTGTTAGATTCAATTTCGAAATTTAGATATTATATCATTGTTGGATCCTCGTATTTTGTCTTTATCCATATCTACACAATTATATTCGCATATATTCCGTGGCAGTTTTCGGTGGGACAAATCGTTCTTTTCATCAAGAGGGGCAGAACAAGTAGCTGTCGAGAAGGATAAACGATTCACCGGCCTCTAGGTCATATCTTGAACCATTAATCTTAATCATTCGAAAAGAAAAGATACTTCTCTCTCACTTTCTTTTGCTTGGGTAGCGGATTGAAGAAAGGATATTAATATATCCTCCGTATAGCAGCGACAAACATAGGAAATTAAATAAATCAACTTTTAATAATAAAAAGGATTATAGGTATAATATGCCCCTCTATTATACAGTTTTATCAAACATGCCCCTCTACTATTTTTTACATCAAACATGCCCTAATTGTCGGCCTGGGTGCATATCGTATGTCAAACTCGCTCAACTGGACCGGCCATTTGACGAGGCGTCCCGCCACGTCCATTGAGCCCAACGTGGATTTTAGGGGGAGATTGGTGAGTACAACCACGGTGTGCGCATGAAATTATGGTATTAATTTGGTCGTTGCTGTTATGACAGCCGATGCGGACTTCTCAATGGGCGCATACCGCCTTTCGTGGGCCACCATGGTTCGGATGACGTAGTATACATGCTTTTCTTCTCCCGTAGGCGCCTCCCTCGAGATCAGTACTACGCTAACCGATATCTCCAAGACCGCGATGTACAAATATAACACTTCTCCTGCTTTGGGTGTTGTCATCATCGTAGGTGTGGCCAAGAGGCGCTTAAGTTCTTCAAATGCCTCATTGCACTCGGCGTTCCTGCGGAAGCGCACTTGCTTTTTGAGTATTCGGAAGAAAGGAGCCGTCTTATAAGCCGATCTCGGTATGAAGCGCCCCACGGCTGCTAGTCTGCCTGCCAGGCCCTGCACTTTCTTGGGTGTTTTCGGTGGTTCAAGTTTGATAATTGTATCCACTTGCTTGGGTTTGGCCTCGATGCCACGTTTTGTGATCATGAAGCCCAAAAACTTACTTGCCTCGGCATGCCTTTGCATGGTTTTGAGTGTTTCCCTCAAATCGCCCAGGTGATCTCCCCGCCTACGACTTTTCACGATCAAGTCATCCACATAAGCTTCAACATTCCGTCCGATCTGGTCAAGAAAAACATAGAGGACCATCCGTTGGTAGGTGGCGCCCGCATTCTTCAACCCGATAGCAATAATTTCCAAAGGCGTCATGAAGCTGATATCCGGTCTTTCTTTGCTCGGTCTTCCTTTGCCATGGGAATTTGGTGATATCCGGAAAACATGTCCACGAAGCTGAGCATCTCATGATAAGCGGTGGCATCCACCAATTGATTTATGTGGTGCATCGGGTACGCATCAGTTGGACATGCTCTATTGAGCCTCGTAAAATCCATACACATCCTCTAATCCCTCGATGGCTTCGACACAAAGACCACGTTTGACAGCCATGTGACATATGTGCCTTCTTCTATCAAGTCAAACCCAAGGAGTTTGTCTACCTCTGCTTGGAGCACCGCCTCCTTCTCCTGAGACAGGCTCATTATCTTTTATTGCACATGCTTCTTCCCTTCATCCATAGCCAACCGGTGAACCACAGTCTCTAGCGCGAATCCAAGCATCTCCATTTCAATCCATGCGAAGAGCTCGCCAAACTCTTGCAAAAGGGCGACCAACTTCCCTATCATCTTCGAGGGAGCCTGCGTTGATACCCTCATATGTCTCTCAGGGCGCCCTTCTTCTAAAGGAACCAAAAGCTCATCATCGGCAGCCTCTGCATGGGACGGATCCTCCGACACAACGTCCACTACGTTAATTATTTGGTTCTTATTTAGGCGTTTACTCCTAGACTCTCAAGCGTAATGAGGGGAGCTCCGTCCTCGGGCCAGTCCCACTCCCTGCAGGGCGATGAATTTTAGGGTTTGATGGTATGTTGATGCCACCCCATTGAAAAGGGCCAAGAGCGGTCTACCGAGGATTGCGTTGTATGGGGAGGGACAATCCACAATTCCAAAGTCTATGGCATGCGTGACTCTTAGTTCTTCGTACCCTAGGGTTACCGACATGCGCATTCGGCCAATTGCAAGCGCACCAAAAAACTCGATTAGCACCGAATTCAATGGTTGTATCAAGTCCGACGACAACTGCATATGTGCTATCGTATCTTTGAACAACATGTCCATATATCTCCTGGTGTCAAAGAGCATCCTCTTTACCTTGCACCCTCAATCACGCCTTGTATCTTCAGTGCATCCAAAGACGGGAGCCTACACGCCTCGTCAGACGTCTGGTTGAAACTAATGTGGATTTTCTCCTATGTGTCGACTAAGGCTGCCATTAATCAGCGGTTTCCCTCTAACTTTTCCCTTAGATCGACCGTCCCGATAAAGGACTCTATCGTGAGTCGTACTCGCTTCCACGCCTTGTCCTGATCAAGGTCGAATGGAGGTGGGGGCAGCTCCGCTGTCTCCAGCTCTGCCCTTGCGAAATAAGTGCAATGCGCCTTCTCATCAGACTTCTTAACAAAATCATTGAGCATTCCTCTATCCACCAAGCCTTGCAACTCCTCCTTTAATTGGTAGCACTCGGCGGTGTGGTGCCCTCTTTCTCGGTGGAAGTCACAATATCTTTCCAGGTTTCACTCATTTGTCTGTCCCCTCATTGGTGGAGCCCAGCGCACATGGTAGCCATTATCCTTAACATATTGGAGTACGTTTTTCAGCGTATCGTTAAACTCTGTGAAAGAGACGGCTCCACAGAGTGACGGGTTCCCGACGTCCATCCTTCTCGCAGGTGTGTAGTGGCCGTATGTATATGTTGCCCCCGATGCAGGCGCCTGCCTTCGTGAAGCCTCGCCTTCATCTCCTCTCACCCGACGCCTATCAGCCCTTCTTGCCGCCAAGATCTCTTCCAACATAATCATCTTCTATGGTCCAAATCCTCTGTAGGCACCACGTCCCTCTTTGCCAACGCCCTGCAAAGCTCCTCGTTGGTTGTGCATTCTTTCAGGCAACACCCCAATAGGCGGCTGAACATCTTTTTACCGTCATGGCCACCGAGATCCACCTCTCCTAGAATTCTCTCAAAGTCTCTTCCTCATTTTGCTTGATTTTGATAAGGGCGCCTATGGTCAGTGTACGACACTTCCTACTAGCAAACTTTGCCAAAACATAGCCACAAATTGTTCGAAGTACTCTATGTGTCCCTCCTCAATCTGGTGGTACCAATCGAGCACTATTCCTGCAAAAGTCGACGGAACACCTTGCACAATGTCGCGTCAGAGTTGTTGTACAATTTCATCTTCGTGAATTAACCATTTAGGTGGTCTTCTGGATCCTCCGTCCCATCATAAGTTGGGAGCGAAGGTATGTTAGTTCCCGCCGGCTCCATCAGCACATTTCTCGCCCAAGGTTGCCTCACAGTGAAGTGTCAGGGAAGGCGTCTGAGCGTCCATCCGTCTAGCCCTTCGAAGTCTGAGCCCGCGTGATCATTTGGATGCCACATGGATGTGGGGCGTCGAGGTTGATCGGAGTCCCCCTCCATCTCTGCAGTCCTTTCCCTTTTCCTCGACGCCGGGCTGTGGACTACTCCTTCTCCCTTCTTTAGCGTCTGCACTTCTCGTTTGAGAATTTCAATCGCTTCGTCTTGGTCTTCGATGATCTTAAACAGATCTTTCTTGGTGATCGAGGCGCCTTCCGAATAAGGGTGCCTTGACTCGCTCCCTTCTCCCTCAGTTGCGCCAGGCGTCCGCTCCCTCGACCATTGGGACGGATCTCCCGTAACCTGTTCCTCTTCTCCACTTCCGGGCGCCTCCATTTTCGTAGTTACCGGTCGTGCCCCCCTTCCTGGCGCGCCAATTGTTTGTGCCCGGGTGGGAACCTCGCTTCTTTAGACTCCTCCCTTAATCTTCTCTCCTCGTGGGGGTCTCACCTACGCAAAAGAACAAAGAGGGGGACGCCCGAGCCCGTTAATCCTCCGACAATCAAGTTAGGCTGATTTCTAGAGAGAGAAGTGTCTCGCCCCAGTTCTTAGTGAGAGAATCCAACCTGCATAAATGCTACCTATCGGTGATATTTATACTTACTCAACCCCCGTCGGGGCTCCTTCATTTCAGCCTTACGTCAGCAATGCATTTAATGTTTCGTACCTCAACCAAGTTGGGCGCCCCGACAAACCTGACAGTTCATCTGACAAGTACAAGGGGCCCGACGGGGGACCATGGACAATCCGTACTTCCTTGTCATTTAGCAATCCTTGTCTCTATGCACCTCTCCTTCCTGCCCAGCTCGGCTCCATGGGCCCGGCCTACCCATGAGCTAAGATTCGTTGACTTTCCGTAGAAGATTGGAAACCTTAAAAGTTGTCTGGGAATTCGTGCCGACCCACCCAAAATTATGTCAGTTGCCCAGAAAATCTTGTCATTTGTCCATAAATTCCTTATTTTCCTTCTCGACCCTCTATGATATCAATCATTAGATCTTCACTTCCTAAATTACAACCATTGGATTGAGTTTTGTATAGACCTAACAAATGATGACCCCACCCGAACCCACATGGAAAATAAATAATAAGTTTTAATAACTCGAAACTCAAATGACCCAAACTCGATTAGCCCGTAATTTTTTGGGTTGGCGTGGGGGTATTAGCGGGTCGTTCCGTTATATGTGTTCCGGTTCATATGTCATTCTCAAAATGATACGATCACTCATAAATTTGTGAGATTTTTTAAAAAAATCTCAAGGATTTGAAAGACAAGTTTGGAGTATAAGGATAATCAAATATAACGTGTTTCTTGTACTAGTATTACTCTCTTGATTTTTTTGGCGAATTGTGCACTTTGTAATTCCTTTCAGTAGCATGGAGGCTTTGCGAATATATTAATTGACATGTGTTAAGTAAACTATTGCCATACATATAAGAATTCTTTTTTTCTTTAAGAAAATATGAAGCATGTTTGATATTGTTTATGAGAAAGCTCATAACCCGAAATGATCTGAAACCCGGCCTGAAAGTATTTGGGTTGGTTCAATAGTTGCCGAAAAGCAGCCAATCCAAAATGACGAGACTCGTGAAGACCCGTAACCTGAGATCCCCAACGTAACCCAATTGCCAAGTCTACTTTTGTTGGACTACAAAACTAATAGGGGGTTTTTAGTGTAACTTGCTCCTATAAAAATGGCGTTCATAAATATTAAAAAAAACAGTGATGTCCTGTTTTTGTGTCTTCCACTTATAGAAAAGGTTATCATACATTGATTTTTTCAACAGAAGTTCTATGAAGATTAGTATATAAATATAGTGTCTATTTGTGTGAGTATAACATATTATCCTAAATATGAAACATATTTGATATTGTTTTTAAGAAGACTCATAATCCGAAATGATCTGAAACCCGACCTGAAAGTTTTTGGTTGGTTCAATATTTGCCAAAAATCAGCCATCCAAAATGACAAGACCTGTGATGACCCGCAACCCGAAATCTCTAACGTAACCCTGACCCGATTGTCAAGTCTACTTTTGTTGAACTACAAAACTAAAAGGCTTTTTAGTGTAACTTGATCCTAAGAAAATGGTGTTCATAAATATTTAAAAAAAATAACAGTGATGTCCTGTTTTTTGTCTTCCATTTATAGAAAAGGTTACATAAATTGATTTTTTCAATCGAAGTTCTAGGAAGATCAGTATATAAATACAATGTCTATTTGTGTGGTATAACATATTAGCCTATTAAGAAAGGAGTGATCAACATAATTTTATTAGATCATCATTCACATGGCTCTAGATTTGCGCATAGCCATATACTTCATTTTGATTTCGAGTTTCATAATTGCAAGTCAAGCTTACAATGCTCGATACTTTCCTGAAGAGATATCTAGTTCTGTAAGTCAGGCACAACCAGACCGTTGGCCTAAACATTGGTGTTGTAATTGGTGGATAGCTTGGTGTTGTCCCCCACCCTCCCATAGTTGATCTATCGTATAAAAAGTTATTACGATGTTATCGACATTACTCTGTGCATTTTGTTTTTCCTGCTACTATCAACAGTAATAATTAGTTTGAGTATTGTTATGTCACTCAAAGGAATGTAATAAAATTGAATAAAATTTTGAAGATTTTTTTGTTAGATTCAATTTCGAAATTTAGATATTATATCATTGTTCGATCCTCATAGTTTCTCTTTATCCATATCTACACAATTATATTCGCAGATATTCCGTGCCAGTTTTTGGTTGGACAAATCGGTTTTTCATCAAGAGGGGCAGCCTCTAGGTCATATCTGAAAAGGGTGGTGGTTATTGATTTTTTTTATTGGGTGATAAGTATAATATGCCTCTCTATTATGTCATGTTATCAAACATGCCTCTCTACTATTTATTACATCAAACATGCCACTATACTTTGGAAAAATGATCAAGCATGCCCTTTTCTTAAAATTTTCATTGAAAAATTATCACCATGGTTGAGCCGAGATTTAGACGACCCGACATCGGCAAATGGGAGGGAAAATGTCAGTTTTGTCCCCTGATTTATTTCTCTAGTTCTTGTTAAAGTAAAATTATTATATGTATTTGGCCATACAAAAGAACCAAAAAAAATTCTAAAGTGAAATTATTAGGGATATTTTAGACATTACTGTCGCCCAAACCAAGGTTCGACCGTGGTTGATGGTTTTTGGATGAAAATTTTAACAGAAGGACATGTTTGATCATTTTTTCAAAGTAAAAAGACATATTTGATGTAAGAAATAGTAGAGTGACATGTTTGATAAAATGAAATAGTAGAAAGATATATTATACGTATAACCCAATAAAAAAATTAATAACCACGACCCTTTTTCAGTTCAGTCCCCACAAAATTAACAATCGCAGTATGCAAATCAAATCATGGTTGATGAGTCATTGCCTATGTTTGGCCCGGCTTTTAGAAGTGCTTTTTGGCTTCAAAAGCTGAAGCAGGGCCAAACACCTCTAAAAGCTCGGCTTTTGAAAAGTCGAAAAGCGCTTTTGTATAACATAAAAGTAGAAGCTCCGATTTGGAGCTTCTGCAAAAAGCTGTTTTGAAAATATAAGATTATCCTTACCATATTTTAATTTTATTTAAGAAAATATAATTTCCCTTCATTTATATCATTTTAAAAATAAAATAAGTTATAAAATCATATTATTTAATATAAAAGAAATCTAACAAGATCCATTTTCACTATTTTTTATTGTTTAGAATTTTATTCATATTTTATATTATAAGTCCTTTATAGTCATTTTACACAACCTCATATTAAAAAGCACTTCTAATAGTTTTACAGCCAAACACTCAACTGCTTTTTTTCAAAAGTACTTAACTAAAACCTCCAGCCAGAAGCTAGTTCTGCAAAAACTACAGCAGGGCCAAACTAAGCTATTATTAACTATCCTACTTGCTACGGTGATTGATTAATCACTATTAGCATCCCTGATGAATTAGTTTCAATCGTACTATAAGTTTATAACCTACACCAATGGTTTTTTTATTAAATGTCATTGTTTTATAGGGACGAAAACATTATTCGAAATCGTGGATATCCGCTCAAATATGATCTAATTGGATAGGATAAAACTCGAATTCTAACGATTTTTAGTGTGTACGGGTAAAACCCGAACCCGAATATTGCAGGTAATGGGTGGCATGATTTTCTAACTATCCAACCCAAACCCGCCCGGTTATACACATCCATATGTATTATGTCTAGAAATGACCATTTTTTCTCAATATATTTTATATTTAGCATACAAATATAATATTCATGATTATGTTGTTTGAAATTAATTTTTTTTCATTCTAGTGAATTATTGTAGTAAATTTTCACTTATATAATGTGGGTATACATTTGAATGTTAAAATTTTGGTTGGAGACTTGGAGTTATACAGAAAAATTATTACTCATGGATAACCGTGGATACTCGAAACCCGAATGAGTATGAAATGTTTTTTGATTTTCTACTCAACTCTTATGTGGGTATGGCCATATTAATATGGATAAAACCCGAACTACTTTGAGTTGGGTAATGGATATGAACTATACGTCCCCGACCTGACCCGTTGCCATCCCTATTATTTTCTTCCTCTCACTTTGCAGGGATCTAAAACAAAAGGAAAATCCCCGAGCCAAAAATATAACTTTATCATTTGATCCAAAAAAAGCTTGTGTCGGGGACGAATAGTGCATATCCGTTACCCTACCCAAAGCAGTTTGGGTTTTACCCATACGGCCATACCCATACCCACATAAGAAACGGGTAGAAAATCGAAAACATGCCCATACCCGTTCGGGTTTCGGGTATATACGGTTATTCATGGGTAATAGTTTCTCTTTATAACTTCAACCAATATGTTAATATCACATGCACATTACGTAAGACAAAAAGTATGACAATAATTCACTAGAATGAAGAAAAATCATTAAAACAACACAATTTCATGAAAAAATTATATTTATATACTAAATATAAAATATATTAGAGAAAAATAATGATTATTTCTAGACAAAATACATATGCATGTGTATATCGGGCGGGTTCGGGTTGGATAGTGAGAAAACCATGCCCACCTATTACCCTCAATATTCGGGTTCGGGTTTTACCCGTACCCGCTAAAAGTCCTTCGGGTTCAGGTTTTACCCACCTGACAAGGTCGGATTCGGGCAGATATCCACGGTTACGTATATTTTTGCCATCCCCATGTGTCAAAGATTAAAAGTTAGTTTATTTTGTAGCTGTATTCACTTATTCAATCATATTATTTTTTACCCGACTCATTGGTCAGATTGTTTTATTTTATTTTATGTTGATCAATTTTTTATATTTTGAAATAATTAAGACATTCTAAAATTATTAATTCATTATTTCAAAATAATATTTATGATATTTTTAGATTATGACATTAACAGTAATAACTTAACATGTATTGTTTTTTAATCAAGTCGGCCTAGTTTACTGTTGTTTGTATGTTTTTTTTTCATATCTTAGAATTTTTTTTTTGCACTTCTTATTGCCGGATATGAATTTAGAGTAGAAGGAAATATATGTCATTTAGAATTGTGGGAATTGAACAACTAAAAAAATTATAAAGAATAAATTTTTGGTTTAAGGTATAAAAAATTAAGAGAATTACGAAAAGGTTATGCCTACAAATATCAAATATGGAAGAACATGAAAAAATAATATTTATTCCATAAATGATTATAATTTATTATAATAAGGAGCACTGTAATTAGGAGCTCCGAAAAAGTTATCACATAATTATCAACTTTAGGAGCACTGTAACAATGTATAGGTTTCTAATTGCGATCTCGGTTGCCAATATATATAATTCCCAGGTGAGCGGTTCTGTTCAAGTTTGCGACTTCCACTAAGCTATAGTATAAACCGACTTAACTAAGTTATGATGAACTCAGCTCCCATTTTTATATGGCCCAGAATTGAGTGATTAGCTCTATGTGGTTTCATTGCAATTCTCCCTTTGTGACGCAGTGTTCAATTAGTGATTATTTGGTTTTGTTCACTTAGTTTCCTTCTCGATCCCTTTGTGCCTATGCCTCTGCCACATCCAAACTCTCCTCTTAGAAATTTGGAAGGGGATCTGGATATAACCTACAGTCATATATGGGTTTCATTGGAGTTCAGTTGGGTTTCTCAATTCCAGTAGTATATGATTTCACTACGTACACTCACATGCATCTTGGTGTTGGGTTTTCGTTTAAGTTTGGGTTACAGTTAGTTTTCGTTTAAGTTTCGGTTTGAACCGAAACTACCGAATGCCCACCCCTGTGCATATTCCATTATTTTTCTCTCTTTTGTTAAACCTTTGAATTCATTGCATGTAGATTTGGTTTCTCCTCCATAGCCTACCCATGAGAACCATATCGTAGCTTCCAAGTTTGCACCTAGGAGCAAATTTAAGCTCTTAATTAATCTACCGATAATAGTTTAAAATTTCCTGTTATTGTGGTTGGAGCACCTTCTACTTGGGAGCAATGATTGGTTTCATTTGAATGATTATCACTATACTTTGTTATGGAAGTGTTGAATCATTCAACTTGGATGTGTATGTGATTGCAACTTTTCCATTGCGTGATTAGTTAGTTTAAATGCTACAAATGATTTCCAGAAATTGTGATCTTCAATATGAGGAGAGCAAGTGATTAACAGCCACCTGTTGATGGTGGTGTTAGTGAATGAGAATGAGGTTGTACTACGGGTGGGTTCTCAATATCATTTGTGATATTTTGCTTTGATGTTGTCTGTGATTTGTATGTTTGGGTTGGCTGGCTTGCTCTCTTATTGCCTTCTTTCTTGGAGATCCACATGCAAAGTGAAAAAGAAGGGGGGAAAGAACATGAACGTGATGTGTATAGGACGAAAACGTCAGCAGCATAGCCTAGTTATTCTGGTAACCGTATAAGTTGTTAGTATATACTAACTAATATTCAAAATGTATGAACTAGTATCCAAGTATGTTGATTTTACTAAAGTATCTAGATAGCACAGACTAGTATTCAAAACATCACAAACTAGTATCCAGATAGCAGAAACCAACTAATATCCACAATCAACCAACTATTATTCAATATAGATACTCTTATGTGTTATCTGGATAATAATAATTATGTATTGTATGGATACTATCCTGTGTTTCTAGATATTATTTTGTGAATTTGGGATAATAGTTGATTTATGGAGGATATTAGTTAGCAAACCTTGAATACTAGTCTGTGCTCTCTAGATACTTGAGTACTTGTATACTAGTTCATGTATTTTGGATATCAATTAGTATCTGCTAACGAATCTTCAAGTTAGCAGATTAACTTTCCCGAACGTCAGAGGCTCTGTTATTGTGAACTGTAAAGTGGGCAAGCCAACTTTGCAGCAAAATTCTTCTAACACACGAGTTACTACATTAGTAGTAGGGTTTTAGTTTCAGATGATGTTGTTCTTTTTGGTTGAGAAATAACTATGGATAGCCTCTTTTTTTTTTTTCGTTTGTTTAAATGAAAAGCTTTCGGTGTGTTTGAAAACTCTTTACTTTAGCCGGAGAATGCTTGGGGAAAGGGTTTCTTTAGTTATTGATGTCTGAGAAAGGCTGATTTTTTTAGCCAGGTGGTATGGGTGGATGAGCCACCATTGTCGTTGCTTGTCTTGCTTGAAGCGGATATGGGCCGTTCCTCTTTGGGCCTAATGTAACTTCTCTTTTGAGTAATACAAATTCAGGTTCCCATAAAAAAAAAGGCTGATTTTATTTTGGTTGTTGTGATGTTAGGTGATTGGCCATTTTGATTTGGTAATTTATTATTATTCTTGCAATTCTATCAAACTATACCTTTCAATTTTTCACAAATAGGGATGGCAATGGGTCGGGTCGGGGACGGATAGTGTATATCCGTTACCCTACCCAAAGTAGTTCGGGTTTTACCCATACCCACATGTAAAACGGGTAGAAAATTAAAACCATGCCCATACCCGTTCGGGTTTCGGGTATCCACGGTTATCCATGGATAATAATTTCTCTTCATAACTCCAACCAATATGTTAACATTCACACGTGTTCTCACATTACGTAAAAGAAAAAGTACGACAATAGGGCACTAGAATGAAGAAAATTAATTAAAACAACACAATTTCATGAAAATATTATATTTATATGCTAGATATAAAATATGTTAGAGAAAAATAATAATTATTTCTAGACAAAATACATATGCATGTGTGTAGTCGGGCGGGTTCGGATTGGATAGTTAGAAACCCATGCCCACCCAGTACCCGCAATATTCGGGTTTGGGTTTTACCCGTACCCACTAATGTCTTTCGGGTTCGAGTTTTACCCTACCCAATTAGGCCGGAGTCGGGCGAATATCCACGATTACGGATATTTTTGCCATCCCAACACAAGATCCACAAAAGCTGAATATATGCATTAACAAATTTAAGGTTGACGACGCGATAACACATGACAGTTATATATATAATACATGACTGTTCTCACTTTCCCTACAAATTCAGTTTAATGGTCTAGTTTTCCTTAATATAAAATACATAATATTAAGTAACAATATTACACTTTATTAATTTTAATTCCTTAAATTGTCACGTGGGCTCCATCCTTAACAAATCTACACATCCTCGTTGACGGGCGTCACTCTTACAATCATATCACGGAGAGCCTGGAAAATAAAAATAGAAAACAGAATGTTATAAATAAATAAAAAAACACAAATAATGATTATGAGCTATTCAAACCGGGCAATTGCTTGTTACCTGGGGATTTGGATTGTTGACAACGTGATTTGCGACGGATTCGTAGATCATCACTTGGAGCATAAGTAGGACACACATTACAGCGTGTGGAACCTGCATCAAATGCAATTTTTTTTTTCCAGTATGTGTTCGTAAGCACGGTGGAAAAATAAACTTTACAACTAAAAGTAATTTTAACTCACGATGAAAAGTGTGTTGTGCCGGTAAATCCCGTAGCACAGCCAGGCGAGCTTCGCTAAAACGCCATTCGATATCTCGAAAAGCGAGATATGGTTGACGGTTTGGGTGGTGATGACGAGGTACTACATTTATAAAATTAGATTTCGCATTAGTGTGTGTTCTTTTTCGATTTTTTTTCCCTTCAATATATTAAGTTAAAAATGGTGTAAATTGGAGAGAGGAAAAAGAGTATAATGTACCCCACTGTAAATTGGCCACAGACAGGCGACCATCTGGGCCGTAAACAGGCAGCGCATCACCACCGGTTCTCGATGGTGGCCGTTGAATCCCAAAAGCGATACGGCGATAACAATTGTGAAGAGGAGGACTGACAGGCCACTGGCGACGGCCATTATCACCCGTCGGGTGGGGTTGGCACAGCGTATATACATGTATATATACGTCGTGTCAACGAGGATCGCCACCCCGTTGATTAAAACCAACAATCCATCACTGTTCGTGATGAACGGGAGGGAGTGTTTGTATATAACTAGTATTAGTACATATTTTTCCAAAATCTTATTACTATCTGGCTAACTTAGTTTTAGGTATTTGGTCTCAAATCGATCCACACTTATCGGTTTCGGTTAAAACCAAGAAAAACAAACAGAACAGAACTGTTTAAGTCCTTTAACAGTTCGGTTTCGAGTGAATGACTTATTTTGGTTAATGTTCGGTTCGTTAAACCGAACCGAAGGCTACCCCTATCATTAACTAATTAATTTGGAGCCAAATATCTTAAATCGATAAAAATGTAGTAATAAATGCTCAAAATTAGGAATTACATACCAGAAGAAGAGGAGGTGGACCAGGAAGCTGATCACCCTCTGTGGGGGTGACGAAGTGTGCTAAAAAATTTAGAGATGCGCATTTTAAATCCCCTTTTTGTAATTATTCATTAATATGTATATAATCCCACCAAAGCATTCCAATTTTACGTAGCAGAGATTAACTGCCTGTCCGCTCACCTTGTCACGGGCTCACGACACCGAGCCCGTTTCAGCGCAGAAGAAATTATGAAATAAATAAAATACAAAACGCCAAAAAATCACGGAGAAGCCTTCGTGACCGACGTGGCAGGCTTTTTTTTCTCAACCCGCTTATATTAGACATCTCCAACAACTAACCTTAAAAGCCAAAAATCCTAAAATACTTCTTCCAATGGCAATTGGGAAAAGCTAAAAAGCCAAAAATTTCAGCCAAAAACCCATTGGAAAAAGACAAAGAAAGCTAAATGTGGGTTGGGAGCTGGCCCCACACTTTTCCACTTTTATAACCCTTGGAAATTGAAAAAGAAGAAGAAAAAAATCTATTTCAGTCACCCAAATAATTACCAACGGCTCTATTAGCCCCTAACAGTTCTTTTTCACGGATTTCTCTATAAACATCATATTTAACAATAATTTTTTTTATGTCAAAATTAAGAAATATATATCGAAACATTCATATTAATTAATTATTTTTATCTATATACAAATAATCTATAAACTATCTAATTAAAGTGATGAAACCTACACTAAGCTAGATTATCACAAAATGAGAAGATTTGACATTCTAGCATTGTGACTTTGCTTGTTGGAGCAAAAACCACTTTTTGAGTGCCAAAATGTCAAATAATTTGCCATTCTAGCATTTTGACATTTGGTTGTTGGAGATGGTCTTAAAGACTATACTCTATATATATATATATATATAAGCTACTCTATAAAAAAAGAAATTATATATAAATGGGCTTGGGCTTGCGATCTGAGTCGGGCCAGGGAAGTAGTTTTTATTTTATTTCTTCAATGGACTATTGAAATCGTTAACACATGAAAGACCAGAATGTTAAGGATGGAAGTAACCTACATGCTGGAATTACTTTTATCCTACGTAACTTTTTTCGCGCGTACAACATTTTATTTTAGGCTTACCAGCTCCATTGTATGGATTTGTTCCTCTTATTAGGGAATCCTCTCTTGCACAACGTAATTATCATTTATAGAATAACGAGCGATGAAATACTAACTAGCCCTTCTTAACCAACGCACCTTAATTAACTTGAGTAGGTTGACTGGAATGAGTAAGCTGTGCTTCGATGAACCTGTGACAAAAAAAAATCGAGAGATCAAATTACCTAATAAGGAAATTAGTTAATAATACTCATAATCCAATAACTAATAAGAATTACCTACACTTGATCTTAACTAAGTACGTGTTGTAATTCATTGCAAATCACTCTCATACACAATAATGCAGCCTTAATCGAATGCCAAGTAACGGGAACATGATCCGATTTCAATACCCAACAAGTTCGATAATGACGTAGGAAGAGATCGAGTAACCCAAAAGTTTAAGAGGGCTTTAATTCATTTTCTCCTGGCAAATGGCTTCTAATGATTACAACATAGAAGCAGGCCAAAGCCCAGCCCATTAATAAAAACCCAAGAGTATGGGCTAGCATTAGTAATTCCCCCGACCCTTTCTTCACCCATTTACAATCTAAGCAGTAAGGTTTCGTGAAAGCAACTTCACCTGAAAGAAACTGGGTAGCAGCCTAGCAGGAGCTGAACCGGCAGAATCGCAATCCTCAATACACCAGAGAACTCGCCGGAGGTTGCCGAGCTTAACGGTGTGCTTATCGAGCTGAATCGTTGGAGCAGAACTGCAGAAGGAGACGACGGAGTGGACTGTACGTGGAGAGTGAAATCGAGGTGTTACGTTTTAGCTGTGACAGAGCAAGTGGTGAATGGGCTTTCCCCTGACGAGGAAGAATCTGACTTTGGATTTCACATAGGTCGAAGCAATAGTCTATACCGGAACTACTGCCGGCGGCCAAGGACTGAAGTGTATTTGGCGGCTGAGGACTGGAACGACTTCGGCTGGACTGACCTTAGCTTTTTTTTTTTTCTCTTTTGAATAAGACTGACCTTAGCTTACCTTAGCTTCCGTAGCTATCTTCCAAGCGCATTTGATCCTTTATATATTGAAAGGAATTGTATGAGAATGGGAAAGCTCTAGTCCGATGTTATAATAGTTTTTGGTATTGGTGTGATATTTGATATTAAATAACATGTTTGTTTGGATGGGGAAAAAAAAATGTTGCATTTGGTAATTACTATCTTTCAAATATATGTTATTTGATAAGTACGAAAGCAATGACAGGTGGTATTTTCCAAATAACATGTTATTGTTTTTCTTTGTTCCAATTATATCTTCATTTTTTTTTTTAAAATATCAAACTATCATCTTCTTCTTGAGCTTTGAATAACACTAATCAAGACTCGACATGTTTTTTCTTTCCAATATAGTTACCAAGAATCCATTTAATATATACCTAGCTCCATAATGCACATTGTGTAATAAAATGTTTAAAACTGTTGTTCCCATCTAACATGTTTAACAACACATTTTAATATTTTATAACTTACGTGAATCTCTTATAAGCACATTGTTATATTAAAACCATATGTAAAATCCCTACATATTAACACCGTAACATATGCATGTTAGCAAAGCGCATGCACACATGCGTTGACCAAGCAGGAAAGAGACGGTTTAAGAAAAGCGCACCGATGAGTATAATAATAAGTTTGAGTGTAAATAACATATCAACAATACAACTGCTTATAATTCATTCAAACGTGAAATTTTCGTACAAATACCACATAGCAAATAATTAAAGTTCAAGAAATTAACGTGGGCTTGTGTCAATTTTTTTCATGGTAAAGGAAACCGTACCGGACATCATACCGGATTTCTTTCTGGTATGGTATTTTGTGGTACGACCGTGGTTCAACCGTTTTGTACCGGTAAATACCGTTTTTCACTATTGATAGAGAAATAAAATGCGATAGTATAAAAAATATAATCCATCAATAAAAGAACCAAATAGAGCATTATACAACCACGGTGACCCATTTTCAACATAGAAAAATATCAAAATAATATTCTTTTTTAATTATTTTCCACATATTGGACGAGAATACGTAGAAATGAAGCTGAATCATAGACCAGGAAACCGGATCGTACCGGCCGGTTCAACCGGTCAAACCGGCCGACACGGTAAAATCAGCACAAGCAGCCCACCGTACCGCTTTTGGTCCAATTTCCGGTTGAACCAGTTGAACCGGCCGGTACGATCCGGTTTCCTGGTCTATGATTTTTTTGTGTTGTACAATTTGTACCAACCAACCACTTCTTTTTGTCCTTTGGGAAAATTGTCTTTCAGATTTTATCTAATTATCATCTAAACAGAAAAGCAAATCATTAACCGCTTACTTTTTATAGCTTCTAGTCAAGCCTCACACTCAATTACCAAACACATGCTGTCGAAATTATCATAATAATAAGATGTGATTACGAACATAAATAAGAAGAGCATTGCCAAAAAAGAATTTGGAAGAAAGAACCAAGAAGTGACCGTCGGCCAGTCTAGCTAGAGAGGACACTGGAAGTTGAAAGATTAAAAAAATCTTAATACCAATTAAAGTAATAATAATGTAGTTACTGTTGCAAAGTACATATTTAAATTAGGAAAACACCCTAATCCTAATAATTAGACCTAAAGAGACCCTGCTATCACTTTGATCCTACTAATTTAATTTTCACACTAATAATAATAATACCCAGATGGATCTGTGCCTCCATCACAATTCATAAATGATCTTCAATTATAAATTTCCTACTTTATAAACATTTTGAAACTACAACTTATAATCTAACTGTTATTATTATTTAATGGTATGAATTAGTCTCATGAGAATTGGTTTTCCTTCATTTTCTGTTAGAAGAATTCAGTTTTTTTTTTTTTTTTACAGTTAGAAGAATTCAGTTCGTTGACGTGTTTTCTGCGTTGGAATTATGTTGTCCGTCATTGTTTCACTTGCCAAAAATTTAAGTAGAAGTGAAGTGTAAACTGTAAATTAGTGTCTGTGACTGTGAGTTCTAACAAAAAAAAAAAAAAACAGAATCTGCCATATTGTTTATTACCTTTTTTTCTATATATATATATATATATAAAAGAAGTAAATAGCCCAGCGCAGAAATGACATCAGGAGACCTATCGGTGTTCGCTTACGGCACGTCGGAGCGGACCGGCTTCTCTACTTACCTGACGTAATCAGCAGCTGCCTCCTCATCACCATCTTCCCGTGGGATCCACCACCACTGCGGATCCAGAAATTTACGTAGGGGTGTCCTCTATAAAAAATTAAATTAAATATTAGAATTAAATTAAATAATTATTAAATATGAAAATATCTAACTAATAAAAGTTCAGACGTCTTTCATTAAATGATAAAATGCATTCGGTGTTTATACTGCTCAACAAATATCTCTCGACATATCTTACTAGACAAGGATATCCCGTAATTCAGTTTAATCTTT